AGAAGCAAACAAAAAAGAACAAGGATCACACTATTCCCTCTCATGAGTTTTAGAATGACTTATTGGTACATGTTTTGACCCTTAAATCATTAGTTTGGCACCTACAGCTTATTTTTATCAATTTATTATTTGTATTATTATTATTATTATTATTCAATTATCACACCAAATTATGACATTTCCATTAGAGATTGAGGTGGATCGATAAAATTTGTCACATGTAATCAAAATAATTTTTTTTAAAAAATCATAAAAATAAAATGCCCATAATTTTTTTTATAAAACTCAGAGTTGCTTTTAAAACTTTATGAAAATTTTCAAAAATGTTTTTTTTTTACATTTTAGTGGTTCAATAATATTTAATTTTTTAAAAAAATAATTAAGATTATAATTTTGGAAAAAATATAAATTCAAAACATAACTTTTTTAAAAAATAGATTTTTGAAGGACTATAATTTTTTTGGATGAATAAATAATATAATAAATTAGAAATAAGGTGAATTTGTTTTAAAATAAATTGGGATTACTATAAGATAATGTGTTCATGATTTTTAAATTATTGATAATATATGTCTCTTATATATGTAACTGTTAAAACTTAAGATCTTACATAAAAATAATGTTTCTTAGACTACTTATGTCAATTAGGGCCAATTTAAAATTTAATTGTTTGGTATAATTATCCAAAAATATTTTTAATAAGATAAAATGTTCTTTTTAGACATTATAATGTAAATTAAAATATATTAATTTAAATTTGTTAATATTTTAATATATAAAAATATCAAATTAAATTATAAAAATATAAATAACAACTATAATTATAATAAAAATAGAAAATGAATTTAATTTTTCTTCTTGAACAAAACGTAACTAATATATAATTAATACATAGTTTATAAAAATAATTAAATTTTAATTTTTTTTCTGGAGAAAAGAGTGGAGCCCATATATCACCGTAAAAGTATAAATTTGCTTCTAAACAAAAATTTAAACCAGAAAAATAAGAAAATTTATTTTTTACGATTGGTTTAAAACTACTATTTTAAATGTAATTTTACCTTTAAATTTTACCTGTTTATAATAATTTTGATTTCAAACTTAATTTTTATACCAAAAGTATGTTTAGACAACATTACCCAACAAAATCTTAATATACTGAATTTTTTAGTAATTGCAGTTGAGAATGAAAGTTGCTTTTAAACCAACTTTAATAATAAAATAAAATAAAATAAAATAAAATAAATGATTTCCCATTTCTTTCTTTTTCTCTGTTATGTTAATAGATTATAGGCTAAAGTCTATACACGACAACATCCTTTAGAAAAAACCGCCTTCTCTCTTCGTCTCTTGCCTCTGCCTATTTTTTTTTATTGAAAAGGAAACACTGAAAAGCCGGAAAAAAAATGTCTCCTTTCTCTGTTTCCTCTCCAACTAAGTAATGGGTTTTGCTTAGGAATTTGTAATAAGCAGTCTTGGAGCAACCCATTTCCCTTGTTCTCTGCTATTTGAGGGAAACAAAAAGTAGAGACATTTTACTTATTACCCCCAGTCCTTGTTGTTTAATGGCGTCCTTTTCCCCTATAAGCTGTTATTTCTACCTGCCTGAACTCTGAACTGACTCTCCTTTGCTTATTTTTTTAAAAATCTCGAGACTTTTGTTAAAATCTGAAAACACCCATTGCTTCAGTTACCCTGGAACCAGCTCCATTGCAGGTTTGTAACCTTTTATATGTTTATTGATCCATTTGTTTGTCTGAAATCTACTCATGTTTGGTTTAGTTTGTGATTTTTTTTTTGTTTCAGTTATTTGGGGTTTTCTGTTTGATTTTTGATAGATAGGTAAGGATGGCCTAATCCTTCTCCTGTTTTACCTACCATTATTTGATTTCTTCTAAAAGCACTTTAGGGTTTGCTAAATTCATGAAAAGATTGTACTTTTCTTTGTCATTGAAAGGAACACAGCTTGGTTTGGATTGAATTCTCTTTCTCTAATTACAAATCTGGTTAAAAAAGCGTTTCCTTTATGTATCAGTATCAATCTATAAATGTTTTTCCCTGTTCAAGTAACAAATCAGTGATTCGCATTTTTCTGTTCACTGCTAAGATTTTAATTTTATTGTATTTTCACTAACTTTCATGGGTTTGATTTATCTTCTATCTTGAAAATATGTGTTACGGAATCATTTTGCTTGTGAGCAGCAGTTGATTTAATATGTTGGCTGATCTGTTTCCTTAATCTTATTGTATCTCCTTAGAATGTGTTTTAGCTTCCGCACAGATGATTAGATGTCTTGATTTGATGTTCTTTTCTTGATTTTGTGAATTTGATACCATATCCTTGGTAGGCATGCATGCAATCCCAGAAAATTTAGAAGCATGTTTTCCTTGGTGTATTGCTTTTTGTAAGGAAATTCCTAAGGAAATTCAATATTGTTTTTGTTAGATTCTTAGGAAATTTCTTTAGGTTGCTCTTAATCATGGAAGGAGAGACTTCATGGATCAGCCATTGCATTGATGACATGTGTGAAGACATTGGCAAGTTCGACTCGTTCTCAGAATTTAGTGATGAAGGTAATAAAGAAACAACAGTTCTTGTGGACTCTATCCTACCCGATGACTTGTTGGAAAGAATTCTGGCTTATCTTCCGATTGCAAGCATTTTCAGAGCTGGTTCCGTGTGTAGAAGATGGCATGAGATTGTCAGTTCCAAAAGGTTTTTATGGAACTTTTCACGTGACCTACCGCAGAAGCCTTGGTATTTTATGTTCACAAGTTCTGATGAACCGGTTGGTTATGCCTATGACCCCATTCATCGGAAGTGGTACAGCATTGAACTTCCCTGCATTCAGACTCCAAACTGGTTCATTTCTTCATCATGTGGCTTGGTTTGTTTCATGGACAATGACAGTAGAAGCGAGTTGTATGTCTGTAATCCAATCACCAAAATTTACAAGAAGCTTGAGCAGCCCCCTGGTATGAAATTCTCTGATTATAGTGCATTGTCAATCTCGGTGAACCGGACGTCTCTGAATTATACTGTATACATTGTGAAATCTAAACAAGTTACCGGTAATTTTTTCCAATGGGACCTTTCGATACATATTTATGATTCTGAAACAATGATGTGGGCAACCTCCTTGACTGAGGTTTTGACAGGATGGAGAGGTGGAGATGAAAGTGTGATCTGTGATGGGGTTTTATATTTTCTAATTTACTCAACTGGGGTTGGTACACCAGAAGACCGGCATGCCCTCGTTGCATATAATCTCTCTAGCCGATCATCCCCATCGGTAAGGAGTTTTATACCAGTACCAGGTCCACTTACTTGCGGCCGATTGATGAACGTCAAGGACCAGCTGGTAATGGTGGGAGGAATCGGGAAGCAGGATCGACCTGATATAATCAAGGGCATTGGAATCTGGGTTCTTAACAGGACGAGTTGGGTAGAGGTTACTCGCATGCCCCATAAGTTCTTCCAAGGATTCGGCGAGTTGGATGATGTTTTCGCCAGTAGTGGTACCAACAATCTCATATATATCCAGAGCTATGGTGCTCCAGCTCTCCTTGTTTTCGACATGAACAAGAAACAATGGAAATGGTCGGTCAAGTGTCCGGTATCGAAGAAATTCCCTCTTCAGCTCTTCACAGGCTTTTGCTTTGAACCAAGACTTGAAATTGCTCCATGATGTATTTCTGATTATATTCTAGTTTCTCTCATTATGATTGTAATGTATCTCGATTCCAAAAAAAGAAAAAGAAAATCTACACAAGATGTATCAGCTCATTTATGAAAATGTAAAAGCTTGGATTGAGCATGAATATGGAGATTCGTAACTTTGATCTGCCTCTGATAAGGACTTACCCTTCATCTTTGGGAGTCAGAACTCGGTGATGGGGTCCCACTTCCCATGCTAGTGAGTTCAATGTGATTGGTTCAAGACATTGGACCACACAACTTTTGTCAATATTGGGTTTATGTTGGGTTTGGCAGCATGAATTTGAAAGATAACATACAGTGTCTGCCTCTGTCACTGTTTTGAGAAAGACCGTCGGCAAAACTTATACTTTTATTTAACTCTGCTTCATTCATTCCTTACACATTTTAAGTAACACTGCCTTTAAACTCGGGGATCATTTCAGTTATGTTCAATGATATTTTTTTAGATGAGTACAAACAGGGATCATTTCAGTTAATTCATGTTTTTTCTCGGAAGAAACTTAGCTACTCAGTAATTTTGACATTAATTTTATTGTTATCTTTATTTTGTTTTTTAGTTGATATGATTAAGTTCTTAAAATAAGTTAATTCTAAAGGAACGTGTGAAATCTTTAGCTCAGGGTTCAAGGGACGAAAATAGTCACGAAATTTCTACATGTTGCTTGTTCAAAGGAACGAAGATTAAACCCATCAAACTATTTCAAAAATGATCATTAAACTCATCAAACTATTCTAGTATAGTACCTAAACTTATTAAAAATTATCATTATTTTATAACGTCCAGTGATCATTTTATAACAATTCAATAAGTTTAATGACTATTTTATAACTTCTGAAACTTCAATGGTGAAAAGGATCAATTCAACATAGTTTCGTGTCCATTTGCGTATTTTACCAAAAAATGCAATTGAGGGCGAAGATAACGAAATGGAAATTGGAACACTCGAAAGGCTTAGGCCGAGAGGCCATTTGTCAGTGGTTGCCAAATAAAAAAGAACCAAACCAACTATATTAACGGTTTTGCGGCTATAAACTAAACTAAATTAACTGGACACGAGATTGTCCTAAAATAGAACACCACTTTCAATTTCTCATTACTTATTCAGCCGCGAAATTCTGTTTTGCCTTCCACTCTCCACCGGGCATTTTACAGCAAATCAGAATAATGGAGATTTCAAAATCCAAATATATAGTGGGAAAAAAGGAACTCTTTTTTCTTTGGGAATTTAATATTCTTGCATTTCCTTTAGAGAGGAAAAAAAAAGGAAAAGGAATTTATCTTTAAATCGTTTTGGCATAGAGGGAAGTAGATGGCACGGTCAAGCAAGGAAATCTCAGCTTCGGATTTAACAGATTCGCAAAGATATTGGGTTCATTATTCCAGACAGCAGTGCCTTAATCTCCCTCCAGGATCAATTACTGCCTTTGAATGGAAAGATTATTGTCCTCGAGCTTTCAGGTTTTGTCAATTTTCTTTCATTCGCTTTAATCCTTGGATTCTTTTATTTCATCTCTGAACTGTTTGTTGATATTCCTCTTCCAGGCTTTTACAAGAGTTCGACAATATCAACAATGAATGTTACATGATGTCCATTTGTAGTGACGAAATTTTAGGTAAAGTTACATCAAGTTTGAGACCTGGCAACTTGTTCCTTTTGTCCACGGACAACCGATTCGTAGTCAAAACACTACGCAAATCCGAAGTCAGGGTAATGAAATCAGCCTTTGTTTTTCATCTACTAATGAATATTTTCCAGTAGGCATGATATAAAATCATATATGTTGCTCATAAGTTGTACATTTTCGGTTTAACGGGTGGGTTTGGGTTGATCTATAATGTTGAAATTAATAATCATCTTCTTAAATTTGAACTAAAAGAGATTGGACTTTAATAAAGCTCTGACATAAAAGTAGTTTATAGACATTTATTAGTTTCTGAATCAGAAAAAAATGTCTAAATGTTTGATGTAGGTCCTCATAGAAATGCTTCCAGACTATTATAACCATATCAGAAAGTTTCGCAGCACGGTCTTGAACAAGCTTTATGGAGTTCATGTTGTAAAGCCGGACGGAGGTGCTAAGGTAAATGGAACGTTTTTTTATCTACATAGTAAAGTTTTTCATACTGCTTTTTTTTTCTTTTCAATGTAATCCATAGATTTAAACTTTACAAGGAAGATCTTTGTCACATAAATTAAGTGCAAAGATATTGATGATTGCAAGGGATGCAAACTAAAAATGCAGGGAACCAAGAGGTACATGATGCATGTCTTCCTCCATGAAGGGATTCTAAATTAGGGATCTTTGTTGAAATTTGCATTACCGTAACTACGAGCTTTCCCTTCCTTTTGGTTGTTAATAATATGCACTGATATTTTTCGGAATTGGGGGAACAGGTTTATTTTTTGGTTGTTGCAAACATATTCAAATCAGATTTGTTGCTGCACCGGTGTTATGACCTCAAAGGCTCCTTACAAGGTCGAAGAGTTGAAAAAGGGAGATTCCGTGCGAAAATTCTTCATAAGGAATCCAATCTTGATTTTCACTTTTACCTTGAACCGCTGGTTCGACATAGGCTTTTGAAGTAAGTCCATCGATCTATATCTTCTCTCTTGGTGTAGTTTTCTTCCTGATAAATGGTAACTTGATTTTTATGCAATTGCCTGATCATTATTGTATACAACTCTTACAGTAATCCCCTCCCCCCTTTTGTGTGTGCAAGCGTGTTACCTGACATGCATGATCTTTGGTTGATTAACTATAGTATTTTTATTTGTTAGGCAAATCAAGCATGATTGTGCTTTTCTCGAGGCTGCAGGCATCATGGATTACAGTCTGCTACTTGGTTTCCATATAAAAGGGTCACCTAAAGGTGAATTTGTTCCTCATAAATTCTCACTTTTTCATGAAAAACTATCTTGTTATAAGAGGTAGAGCAAGATTTCTGATAAGCTTTTATTCTCTCACAGATCTCTTGGAAGCCGGACGTTCACTTTCTTCGGACTCCGAATGTGGAGGTAATTACTTGCATCAAAAGGATCTTGATTCTTCATCACTTTATTCTTGTGAGAAGGCTAAGAGCTGACTCAGTTCTTGGAAAATGTAAATCACAGAAAAAGATTATGTTGAGGAAATACAACAATATTGCATTATTTGAAAATACCAAATTGACTAAATCTTCCAAGAAAAGTGCATATCTTAAATGAAAATTTACCTTCATTTTATTGTCTTTCTTCAGGTTCTGTTGACAATAGTTCCAGTGATGGAACGAGAATTTCCTGCGACTCGTGGCTTCATAGTGATATATCCTCACCTATATCCCCCGCGCCTTCAATTCGAGGTGAAAATGAAACTCATTCATCATCATTCTTTGTTGCTTAAAGGCAAAGTAAAAGGCCAAAAATCAGAATTTGTAAGAAGCTTAACTGTTCTAAACTCTAATGCTGTCATATCCTTTGAACCAGAATATGTTAGGAAAAGTTATCTCTTCTGCCATTCATCCTTTCCCACATGTTCCTCTAGCTACAAGGACTAGTGTTAAGCTTTATAATGCATAGTCTGCTTTCCTGCCTTGCAGATCCAATTGACTTCAGGGAAGAATTGAGTTTTGCTGATCAGTGGCTACCAGGTGGTAAAAGGTAAATATTTTTTTTAAGCCTAAAATAAGTGTCGCATTTGATGTGGGGTTCAAAGACAATGTAGTGAGGAATTTGATCGTTTTACATTGGCTTTCTTGCAGTCAAGCTATTAGCTTCGGCGAAGAAATGTCGGCGCGTGGTGTTCACATACCAAAGAACGGAACCAGAACTCTAACATCACATGAAAATCTCAAGTCTGGGGAGTGCTATGATTTACTTTTGTGCTTTGGAATAGTGGATTTCTCCCAAAACTACAGCATGATGAAGCGAATCGAGCATGCATACAAGTCGTTGCAGTTCGATCGGAGGATGATTACAGCTGTAAACCCCAAAGCATATTCTTCTCGGTTTCAGGATTTCATCAGCGACATATTTAAAGCAGACGAGTCACTCAATCTCCCCACTGAGCTCACTAGTGGTAAGTTCTTTCTACAAGTTTGTACACATTGGAACATTGTTTACTTTAGTTCAATTTCCTCAATGAAGAGGGTTACAAGCAATAATTTTGACTAATAACCTTTAGACAGCAAGGATCAAGATGCTACCTCTAACACCCTAATCCTACATCGGGATTCCGGAGACTTAGAGAAGCTATTCAAAATCTTCTAAACTATTGACAACGCGCACACAGTTGTTCGAACCTAGAACCTCTAGAGAGAACAAGACTCGTTTACTACTGAAATCGTTTAGTGGATTCTTCGGACTTAAGCATGACAGAAGAAAACTTGAAGGCTCCTCTCATGGAACCATAGTCTTATAAAACATGAATGTTTCTCGGCCTAAATTAAAGCGTGCTTGATATGTACGAAACGTAACTGAAGCTAAAGATTTTTTTTTTCAGGATGCAGAGAAAAGATCCTGCAAATGCAATGAAGGGGGTAGGTTTTGAGCATGTGAAGGACTCCAGAAATCATGGAAAGATGTAACAATGTACATAGATCTTCTGTAAGACCCAGAGTCATCCCTTAATTACATGAAAATAGAAAGGGACCAAAAAATCCAAATTTGAACCCACAGTTTTGTTGCTTCTGCACGCTAAGCTTCTCATAAATAAAGCTTTTACGTGTGCAATGTATAGCTTTCTAAACATCCCTGTAATATTTCTTGTATAAATTTATTTTCAAAAATCGCAAGATATGGTAAATATGTGAAATTTGGACTTTAAATTTGGAGTAAACTACATTTACCGTCACTGTACTATTAGTAAGATTGTGTTTTCGTCCCTCAATTTAAAAAATATATAAACTACACCCATGACTACTTACTTAGAAGTGGATTTTAATCTAACCATCGATCTTTTAATTTTATCAACTAAATCACTTAACTATTTAAATTATGATTAAGTTAACCTTTAATGGAGAGAGTGACGTGATAGTTAAAAAAATCGATATAATTACATATTTAGTTCTTGTTACTTACAAATTATATAATTTGATCTTAAGGAGATAGTGTATTGGTTAACCGTGTGTGTATGCGGTGTCCTCTAAAGATTTAATAGATAAGATTTTCTATCAATCTAATGGAATTACCTTTCCATGAGTTCGATATGATTTTAGGGCTCGATTGTCTAGGCGAACATTAAGCTTGGGTTCGATATAATATACTATATATGTTACATATACATATTAAGCTCAAAACCTTTAAGAATTATGATTCAACTATTTTTTAACTAGAGTAGACCTATTAAACTTTTAAGACTTAATCAAAATTTAACCCAAATAAAAAATATTTCTATTAAATTCAAATTAACCTATTAAACTTTGTTCGGTTCAGTTAATTATTTTTAAAATAAATTGGTTCGTTTAATAAGTTTTGGGTAATCCGGTTCAATCGATGATCGAATTAATTGTTTGAACACCCTTAGAAAATCGATCACTGTGGAAGTCGTCTTACGTGCTAAAAATAATGTCAGATCAGTCGATTAAATCGTCACATCTATTTGTCATAAATCAATAACATTAGTTTTAAAACATAAATTAAAAAAAACTTATTCAAATATAAGTGATCATGTATGTATATTTTAAAGTTCATATGCTAAAATATATTTACCCTTCTATGAAGATGCTTTATTTGTTTACTACAATTATTTCATGCTCTCGAGTGATTGCCGACATTTGTGAAAGTTGTATACTAAATTATTTGATATTTCATTAAATGCGGCATCTATTAAACGATATCTGATTTGTACTTCATTTTCTTTTTGGCCATGAAATATATTTCATTTGGATGGTCGACACGAATGATCGCATTTAGACGTACCCAATTAGTTAAGTCGGGATGGTTAGGGTTTTTAAAATTTTGTGTCGATTACAAAATAATATTTATTTAGATTTTTTTATTTTATGATATTAAATATACATTTTGTAAATATAATTGTTTAAACTTAAAATCTCTAAGGAGAATAATAATAATACATTTTATCAACTAACGTAATTCTATGGGTTCTCTGATTGATTTTTATTTATTCTAAAAAATATGTAGTTTGATAGGGCATTAAACAAAGTAAAAGCGGTTCAGAAATTGATCATCTATAATGGTAGATTGGTAGTGCTACTTCTATGCATATATAATTATAAAGAAGAATCTGAAACACTTTCGTTTTAATTAATGACATTGTTGATGCTTAATTAAATTGCTTGGACCGATAATGTGTTTAAAATTCACGTTTGTATGTAGTGGACCACTATGGAAAGCAACCAGCTGCTAAAGTATATATTAACTATGGGTATTGGATACTTGAAAAGATTCAACTAATTGATGCTAAATTAGTAATTGGACGGCCCAGATTGCTTAATCATCTTCCTGGTTAGGTCTATAAAAGGACCCCAATCATCCATTTAGTCTGCAACTTGACCACTTTGTGTCTGCAACAAAAGAAAACACAGCATTTAGTATAAATAGTGGGTTAAAACGGGGCTCTCTGAACTCCAAAACTGAAAGGAAGTGAAGGGTAGGGGTACGGCTGCAAGTTCATGAGTGCCCATGGATGCTTAACAAAGAGTTCGCAGCCGAGGGTTTGCATGAACTTGGAGACGTGCTTACCTTGATCCTTTTTGGTATTGGAGTGAAGGGAGCTCCGTCTTCTCAATGGTTTTTCTTTTTTTGCTATCTATGTATAATCTCATTGTGTTTTGATTTTGCATCCTCAATTTAGTTCATGGCATTTTCTTTTTCTTAATTTATGATCATCGGGCTTATTCTATATGAAATATTAAGAAACATGAGATGAAATATACAAGAGTGATTATTTTATGATTTGTGTCTGATCTAAATATTAAGGATAAAATGACATAATATATAAAAAGTTGATCACATAAAAATCATGTTGAATCGCGACTTTTTGAAACTTAAATGGCAATAACGCATTGCAAGATGTTACTCCTTGTTTTAATATTACTATTAACATTACAATAACATACAGAGCCACACCCTGGGTTAAAACAAATAAAATACAAACACAATTAATATTGTGTTTAACTGACACATGAATTAAACTGATTATTGAATTAATTTAATTTAATAGTTGAACATTGAACGAATTATACATGCAAGTTTATTTTGCACATAGAAAATATAATTAAAATTAATATATGAATTTGATGTATATAACATTTTGATAGAATATGATTTTCCAAAATAATAATAAAAATAATTTCGATCATACATTAAAAAGTAATATAATTATTACTCCTATATTTTAAATAGTTTTATGAATAATTCAATTTCTAATATATGTATATAATAATCTTGACTTTAGTGTATGCATTAATTATATTATATTCTAATTAATTTCTTATCACGTGACAAACGAATGGTCCATTGTCAAAAGTATTTGCTGACTGAACCAATGCTAAGAAGAAAATGACATTCAGTTGTGGTATTTCCTAATATTTAGTATTTAGAATGAGAATATTTGGCATGAATCAATTTATCTTAGTTGTTAGATGAATCATTGTTATTTTTAGAGGTTATGGGTTCGAGCAACAATGATTGCAAGGGTGATTGAGTGTACTTAGAACATATACTATCTAGTAATTATCTTTAGCTTAATAGAAAAATGAGAAAATTTGATTTTACTTAAAAAATATTTGTTTTAATTTTAAATTATTTGAGTCAAGTTAATTTAAATTTAATTTTTATTTTTTATTTAAGTTTGAATTTACCAATTTAAAAAAATGATTGTTTTATAATTTAATCTTTTATTTTTTATTTCTTCAAATTCTCCTTCGTTATAAATATATTTTTGACTGGATTTGGACCACACACTCTTAAATCATTGTAGAATACTTATGTAGCTTCAATTTTTTTTTTGAAAATCAACTTTTTCTTTTTTCAATTTAGTTCCTTAACTTTATACATTTTTTTTATTTCTTCAATTACCCCTTCCTTTTAAGTCCATTTTGATCATATTTAAACCGCATGTTTCTCTAAGTCTACAGAATACCTATGTAACTTTAACTCTTATTATTAACAAAAAAAAATTATTGTTTTTGTAATTTAATTTAATTTTATTAAATTTGATCTTCTGATTGATTTTTTTAATAATTTTTTCATTAATTTCTTTGATTCCTTTATATTTCCATTAATATTTTGTCCTTGATAATCTATTTTTTGAAAATAACATTATAAATATATTTCATGATTCTAAATGTTATTTGTTTTATTAAATAACATTATAAGTCTTACTCACACATATAAAAAATATGAAGAAATATATGTGTATATCTTATATGATTAGAGAAAGTTGTTTAAAGTGAAATAAATATATATCATAATATTATATAAAGAGTTATAATTAAACTTAAAAAGAAACTCAAACAAATAGATTTAAATTTTATAGATTTGATTTAACTAAAAAAATTAAAATAAAATTTGAATCATAAAATAAGACACATCAACTCAAAAAAATTTACTCGATTTGATTAAATATTCACTCCTACTGGTGTTGACAAATAAAAAATTACATATCATCTCGGTTCTAAATCATTTTAGGTTTAGATCATATTCAAGTTAAAACTAATTCAAGTTTAAGTTGAATAACTTCGTGTTGTTAATACTTAATATTTAATTAGATTCGGTAGAGTTTGAATTTGGATTGATCAAATAGATTTTTGTAATCGAATCAAATTAATATCGTTTCCTTATAATACCAACTTAAAATTCTTTACCATTATGTCACTATTTAACATGACATTGATTTCATTATTTGAAAATAGTAAATATAAAATCAAAAAAAATTATATATTTTATTAATTTATACTAATTATTAAATTTAAAATACTATATTTTCAGACTCGTGTTTTTATTTTCCATCAATTGTTTTTAAAATTAGGATAAAGTATACAAATGGTCTCTCAATTATAGGATATTGTTTTGTTGAGTATTCCGACCATTAAAAATTACAAAATTGTCCCTCAATTATAGGGAGGTATTTCTACTATTAAAAGTTACACAATAGTTACTCAACTACTCATTATCTTTCAAACTCGTCCTTTTATGTTAAAAAATTAACAATATATGAGTTGGATGTTCACATACTGATTAAGATATGATAGTCGTTCGAGACTATGAGATCATAGTTTATCATATCTCAATTAGCAAGTTAACATCTAGCTTAGACTATCGTTAATTTTTTAACAAACAAATACTTGTTTGAAACATAAAGAATAGTCTAATGACAATTTTGTAACTTTTAATAGTTGATGGACTCAACAAAGCAACTTCCTATAATTAGGGGACTATTATGTAACTTGTAATAGTTGGAGGACTCAACAAAGTAATATCCCATAGTCAGAGGACCATTTCTGTACTTTACCAGTTCTTCTTTTAATTTTTTTATTCAACTTATATTGCAATTAAAATTCGTTTTACTTATTTAATTAATGATATTATTAGGTATATGGGGGATTAACTTGTTCGGCAAGCAATTTATTGATATAATTTTTTTTAATAATTCAGTTGGGAAATTACGCGAGTGACTCCTCTATTATATATATAAACAAATCTAGGCATTCCAAGTTTTATTTTTCCAGAAACAATAGCAAAAACAAAACAATCTGTATTCAAATTAAAATTAGAAAAGCGAGCTAGGGTTTATTTATCACAGGAAGAGCGGCCTGCAATCGTTGCGAAGAACCAAAGATGCCGAAGAACAAGGGAAAGGGAGGAAAGAACCGAAAGAGGGGAAAGAACGAGGCCGATGACGAGAAACGCGAGCTTATTTTCAAAGAAGATGGACAAGAATACGCCCAAGTCACCCGCATGTTGGGCAACGGCCGATGCGAAGCTATGTGCATCGACGGCACCAAGCGTCTCTGCCACATCCGCGGTAAAATGCACAAGAAAGTATGGATCGCCGCCGGCGACATCATCCTCGTCGGTCTTAGGGATTATCAAGACGACAAGGCTGACGTCATCTTGAAATACATGCCCGACGAGGCTAGGCTTCTGAAGGCTTATGGAGAGCTACCGGAGAATACAAGGTTGAATGAAGGGATTGCTGGCGGCATTGATGAGGAAGATGATGGTGCCGGTGATGATTACATTGAGTTCGAGGACGAGGACATTGATAAGATCTAAAGTTCCTTTTATTTTCATTTTTGAATTTATTTTAAGACGCGATGATGCTATTGGCAAATGTTTATGCTTTATTAAGCACTATGGATGCTGGATTTTTACGTTATAACACATGAGTTTACCTTTGTATCTTATATATTGTTTTCTCCTTAAATTTGACATGTATTCAGATTTTGTGTTGATTTTAATATTGCAATGGAGTATATGTTGATTTATGAGGAAAGCTTGTTGATGATGAAATCTTCGTTTGGCTATTTGCTTTCATGTTATCATCTTCTTCTGAGTAGTTAATCCATTGGGGATTTCAATATGATTGGATTCCGGCTTTGATTTCTGAGTTTTATAGTAGTGTAGTTTTTCATATTTTCTTATCATAGTGTCAAGCAATTTTTTCAGGTTGAGATTCCTGGAAGTCCTGATTTAGATGTTTAGCTGATGCTCCTGTTTCACCTCATTGTCATCTTCGTGTTAGATTTTGATTTTTATACGAAGAATATCGGTTCATTGATTATCACTGCAAAACAGAAGCATTGCTGCTGTCATTGGAAGGCCTTTAATCACACAATCGTTTGATTGTAACCAAGGTGATGATGACAATTTCATGTGTTCAGTCCTGGATTAAGGCGTGATATAAGTATGTGTTCGATACAGGTATGTGCAATTTTTAAAAAATGTTTTTTCAGTCTCATGTATGAAATCAGTTTGTTCCTCAGGTTGGACCTTTAAATGTATAGAAAATAGTTGCAATGCAACTATGATAATCCAGAAGATTTTTCATGCTTGAGTTTCTTGCTAAAGGAATATGTTGGTAAAAGGAATATATCACAACTTAATGCACATTTGAATGGAAGAAATGAGCTACTTTCTCTGCACTAAATATGGCATTTTTTTGTACCAGGAAATTGTAGTCATACACGTAGAATTGACGAAGCTTTTATTCCAGGAACAGGGCAAATATAAAGGCGACAAGAATTCATACAAAGAAATCCTACTATTACAGAATACGGATTTCTCTTTTACAGGGTAGCATATGCCATTGCCAATGTTCTGAATCTATTCAGTTCCAGCAATCTTCTTTTTCAGTTCCTCAATATCGGTAGCTAGTTCTTTCCTGCTTGACTGAAGAAATAAGCATGTTGTTAGCAAATAGTTCAGTTTCCACATATATGACAATTCTTACTCTATATAGTCTGAAAACCAATAAGAAATTAATTGTAATTTAGTCCAAGTTGAATACCAACTGTGAAATATAAGCTAAATTTGAGCATTTGTAACTCTCAGAGGGTGGTTCAAAATATATGTATCATTTTCCCTTCATGCACTTGTTGATCTTACCTTGAAGAGAAGGTATCTGTAGACAAACCATCCTGTATATCCAAGTCCAACCAATTCCATTATCTTCGGGAGCTGAAATACATTGATTTCAGATTTGATTAGCAATTTAAGTGAAGGGTATGAAACAAGTTAGATAGTGTAACGTTAGGAGTCAACTTACCAAAGGGACTGAGTTAATGGCACCAACAAGAATAGATGAGAGCCAAACAGCAACTATTGCCCCGCCACCATAAAGAATAACTGTGGACTTGTTCTCAACTTTATCCCACTAGTAAACCACCAAAAAAATAAATCTAGTGAGTACTCTGCCCCAGCAGGTTAAAAGAGCAAAAAATTGATTAATGGGACTGGATTTGTTTAATGGTGGTAAGCCCAAGTTTTCTCACCTTTTCTTTCAAGTCAGAGAAAAGCTCCCCAGCATCAACAGAGCTCTCCTCTGTGGCTTTTGTTTGGAGCAAAGGAAACCTCCGGGATTCTGTTTTTCAAACAGAAAAACCAAGTAAGAACTATCCAAGTTTTCTAATCCTACACTACCCCCCCCCCAGCGCCAATGATTTCATTTCAATAAGATCAAAAAGGAAATTCTCAGTTAAGGACGGTGCTAGGAATATAAAACTCAACTCTTAATTTACTTGACATTTAAGCTTTCGTTTCCTTTCATCAATAAAATCAAACAAATGGAAGAGCAGGCATGCGAATTTCGCAAGTGAAGCAGGCGTTATTGTCAACAGCTGTACCTGGAATTAGTTTTACGGACGAGGAAAATGGAGCAGCGGAAACGCTAGGAGGGAGGGGCAGCAAGGCAGAACAGCGGATGGTTCTTACGGCCGTGGGAACACGTGGGATCAAAACGGCGGTGGCCGCCATGGAAGATGATGCCGCCATTTCTTTGAAATTAAACTATCGCTGGTAAGCGGCCGCTTGAACGCTACAAATCCTATACTCTGCTGCCTTGTGTTTACAGTATCCTTGCTTTATTTTTGTATGAAATTCGAGTTTACTGGGGGAAGAATGGGTTAGCGTTGTGGTAGCGAATGGAGTGATGGACACGTGGATAAGAAATTTATTTGTGGATGATGATTGGTTGGTTCCCTATCTATCTGCAATCATGTTTTGTGGAATTGAAAAGAGGCTACGTTTGGGCTTAGCTCAATACCGAATGGGCTCACTGAGCCAACCAAGACCCATTGGAATGTTGAAGTTTGAACTTCCTCCAAAACTGGCTTCAAGTATAGTTTTGATTATGTATCTGATATTTCTAACACGACCCTTACATCACCTCTCCATATATATATATTTAAGTATCATAAATGACCATTTATTTTTGCATGAATGACACTATTTAAGACCAATATAAAAGGAAAGTTTATTCTTTTTATTGGATTCGAACAACTAGATTTATAAAATATTTATACGTTGTCAATAGATTAATAAAGTTTTGAATATATATAATATATCACTTAACTAAATTTTTTAACTACCATTATAATTGAGACAACTAAAACGATCATGTTTATAACATTAAATATTTATATTACTAAAAAAAATTAAATACCTAAATGAAATATATATATATATATATATTAAGTAAAAAATATATATATATTAAGTAATTTTTTTATTAAGTCTTTAAAATTTAATTTGCTCGAGTTTTTTCTAAATAAAGTATTAGTTTTTGGTACATGTCACCTGGGTCCCACCATTTTTTTTATGAGTAAACCACGTGTATGGGCGACGCGTCACCCTGTCGGTAAGGATGCCCCCATTATCCTTTTGGTTGTTTAACAGGCGTTTTTATAGCCCACAAAAATATTTTGCATCTATTTAAATATTAAGTTATATTGTACAAATTAAATTATTTTAGTAATAAATAAATTATCGTTATTCTTTTGTTAAATCACAATAAATATGAATGATATAAACGTTTAATATTAACTTATTAAAATTTATTGTCTTATACATATATCAGATTAATAAAATAAATATTAAAGCAGATTAAATTAATTGAATTCAAGTGAAACTATAGATCCGTCTAACTCTGCTTTCACTCTTTTTACTCTCTACACATTTAAAAATTAGTATTTTTCTTTCTTTCTTTCTTTTTACTTTTTTAATTAGGAATGTTATTTTTCGTCTATTATTATTTTCGTAATTGGAGTCTAATTGATCATAATGTCAATAGGATTAACCAAATTTTGACTCCATTAAAAAATTGATATTTTCAACTCGACTTAAATTGATTTCGAGTTATAATTTCATAAACTAGAGTCGAGAAAATTTCAAATTCGATTTGAGTTTATTTTTTGAAGAGAAAAATTTGTCTTTTTTATTCAATTAATGTTTGGTTTCAACTTTTAGTCGACACCCTCGTCTGGAAAATTGGATTTTTATTGAGTTCGGTTATCATATTGGTTTTTATTCAAAGTTCAGGGGTTTATTTATTTTTAAAAAGCAAATAATTTTAAAATTTAAAAATGAATTAAATTACTAAAAAATAAATTAAATTACTAAAAAATAAAAAATATATATTATACATGTACTAGAGTAATTGAAAATGTTATTGTTAAATGATTCATTGAATTTAGAGGTGAATTCTAATTTGTGATTTAGTAGTATAATTATATTATTATATTCATACATGTCAATTTTAATGTGAGCTTTATTTTATTTTTATTTTGTAGAAACGAATTTGTTATTCCTTGAAATTTTTAAAAAAATATTGGAGTGACAAAAAAACCTCAAGTACATAGAGTTCATATCCTCATTTACTTTATAGAGTTGTATTTAACAAAAACTGACGTGTAAGTTATTATTATTTTTGGCAAAAGGATACCTGAGACCCTTCTTATATTCATTAAATTACTATTCTTAATTGTATAAATATAATTTCATGATAATTCATAAATCAATTTTATTTTTATAAGATTCTGTTATATTTATTTTTAATTTTAAAAAATAGTGAAATAGAATTAGAAAGACATTTTGATTTTAAGATAATTAAAAGTTAATATATAAAACAAAATTTGTGCATGATGAACAGATTTAGATTAATATAAATAAAGATTAAATTAAATTCAACATAAAAATAATAATATGTATTTTTAATATTTAGCAATTTGATTTTTATTTTGGTATTTCATTATACATTGAATACTTCATATTTTAAACCAAAAAATATTTTATTTTAAAAAAATAAGTCCCTAAACATAAAAAATCAATTTAACCATTAAATTTTTTAAAAAATAATTTAATTTATTTATCATGTCATCAACTATGTTAACAGTTATCATGGATCATCACATCAATTATCATTAACCATCATGTCATCAATATAAAATATAATATAAATATTATAACCATCAACAATAAAAATTATTGATTAAAATGTCACATTAATTTTTTTTTATATTGAAAGTCACATTAAATGTAAACAAAATTTGAGAGTCACGTAAATTTTTTTAAAAGAATACTAGAGTGTCGGGCATGGTTTTCAAAATCGGATCGGTTAACGAACCGATCATGCTATCGATTTACTGGTTCAAACTGTTGAATTGGTCAGACCGGTCGGAAGAATCGGACGACATCATAATTATTTAAAAAATTAAATAAAAATACCAAAAATATTTAATAAAAAATAATTTTTTATATCACAATTCATATTCAAAACAAGTCATAACATATATAAGTTAAAAACCATAAAATCAAGTGAAACAAAATGATTCAAATTAAATACAACATAATATTTAAGGTAAAACATATTAAATCATAAATATAATTATATAACTATAAATAAAAAATAAATTTGGGACTAAAAAAATCATAACAAAATGATATTGTTTGATTTAATTTTTTTTTAAAAACAATCTCACATGACTAAGAAACATAGAAGAGCATCCCAAAAGTCTAAAGAGTAAAAATATGAAAACAAAACAATCTCACATAGCTAAGAAACATAGAAGAACATCCCAACTAACTTCTATAAATAATAGAGGTAATTTGACATTCAAAATCATTGAGCCTTTCTGTGAGCATTGAGTGAATTATTCTTTCACTTCAATCAAGCTCGAATTTTAGGCTTTAATCGAGCTTCTAAATTTTTTTTGAGTTTAAGCCTTTTCGAGTTCAAGTTTCAATATTATATTTCGAGTTCGAGTTGAACTTGATAATTTTTAGCTCGTGAGTTTGAGTCAAGTTGAGCTTACTTTTAAAGTTTTCAAGTTCGAGTCAAGCTCAGTAATACTCGAGTTCGACTTGGCTCGTTTAATAAACGACGTCGTTTGATTTTATTTTTTTTAAAAAAAAAAAACAAAATTGGTGATTTTTTCCGTTTTTTTTTCGAGTTTTCAGCCGGTCCGATTTAAACGGTTCAACGATTTTGTCCGATTTACTAATAACGGTTCAACCGGTGTAGAATAAATCGGACTAGATAACTATTCTCGATTGAACTGTCCAATTTTCAAAACACTGCCTTCCCGCCCTTGATCAAGTAAAGTAAAACAGTTAAAAATAAGGTCAAAAGGTTCCTGATTAAGAGGGAGAGTAATCACGGGATCCTCCCACGTGGAGATTTGGTAATGACACGTGAGCCATTGAAGATGTCTAGAAAGTCCAAACGTCATAAACGTGAGCCGACTACGCAAACTTCTGCTGTGGGGGTGGGATCACCTGGTTTCAAAGTCAACCCACGTGAGACACGTCACTTTATGAGGGACCATTTCAACTCACACAGAGACATGTGACAGTGCAGGTGGGGACCACTCTGCATACGTATTTAGATGCTTTATTTTTTAAAATATAAAAGGGTAAAATATGCGATTATTCCCTTTTGTTTAGAGTGTGATTGACTTTAGTCACTAATTTAAAAATTAATGGTAAATGATCACTCATATCATCTGTTTATCCGGTTTAAGTCCCTTCGTTATTAATTTTTGTTAACCTTGTTTTGTTTAATTCCATTTTATTTAATCCCCTAATATGATTTAAGGATTAAAATTGAATGAGAGTTAACAAATGAGGGACTAAAATCGAATGGATTGATAAAATTAGGGACCATTTCCCTTAATTTTTAAAATAGTGACCAAAATGGTAAGACCGTAAACATAAGGGAATATTTTCATAGTTTACCCAATAAAAAATTGCCCTGGCAAAGAGATACTTTATCTTTTCCTGGCATCGTGGTTCACTTTTATCCCTCAGATTTACGAAATCTCAACTGTCGATTCCCTTTGCATAAGATATGGGTCTGGCAGTTGAAAAAAAATAAAAGGGTAAATTCCACTAGAGATCTCTAAAATACGGTTAAATGAATATATTGTCACTAAAATTTTAATAATTATAAAATAATCATTGAATTTATTAAACTATTACAAAATAATTATTGTGGTATTATAACAGGTATAAAAGTTTGATAAATCTAATGAATATTTTGTAATATTTTGATAAAAATTTAATAATCACTTTATAATAATTTGATAAATACAATAATTTAATTAATATAAGAACTATTTTATAATTTTTAAAAGTAGAATGACAAATAATTATTTAAACATACTTTAATGATATTTTATATATTTTACTTAAAACTAAATGGTAAAGTATATTTTTTAGTAAACTATATGAATGGTTATTTATGTTTTTGGTCCAACCGATTTTGGTCATTAGTTAAGAAAATGATTTTGATAATTTCCGTTATCGATTCATTTGATTTTAATCAATTAATCGTTAACTCCATGTTAATCCGTTAATTAAAGTATTACGTAATAATTAAAAAGTAAAAAGATTCTATGAAAACTACCACAGGAAATGCACCATTGCAATATGCCGTTACAAATTACCGGTACTCCGCTGGAAGAAACTATTATCTGACGGTATTTGGAGGCCAAGTGCTTATTCTTCTTCCGTCCAACACCTATAGGAACGTTACTCGTCGTTCCACCAACTATCCAAGATCTTTGGCAG